CGATTGCATCAGCGACACACGTATTTACGTCTCGATTACGTTTATGTAAGAGGAGCAATATGTCTCACTTTCGACCCCGTAAGACACGTATCCTCTTGATTGTACTTTATCTCGTCTACCCACGCCGTCGATATTGAGACGAATACGCTGAACACGTGCATCCACCGGCGAATATTCAATACCACGTAACGGATCTTCCTTTAATTTACCGAGATACGATCACCGAATTTTTATTCTCAAATTATCTAACGATTCGTCTTCTTCCCTTTTCATTAATTTACTTTTTCTCATTCGACGAAACAAACGTTTACTGGAGTCTGAAGATTTCTCACTAAACTAAGTATTTATTCTATGATTGAATTTCAAGCACGTTTAACGTTATTCTTCTTCTCGAATGGTTAGACTAACCAAAAAACGATGAACAACGATGCAAATATTCGATGAAAACATTTGACGAAAACGATAGTTAAAAAACAAGACGCAAAAGGAGTTGGAGAATTTTTACATTTACCTTGATATTTGTACTTCGTTAATTTAAAAATAAAATGTGTCTTGCGTTATTCTTATCGGTAATTTTCCAACACACATAACTCATTTTCTTATCGAAACAAAATATTCGATTTTGCGCCGTAGAGCTGTATCGAAATTGTTAAGGTCGAACTTATCGTAAGAAATTTGCAAGTGTACTCGAAACGTTAATTCTCTCTGCTTCTTCTCTGGTTCTAATGTTCGGTAACGCGGCCAAAAATTTGTCAGAGAACGCGTTGATATATACAACGCTTGTACTAATTGCAAGTCGAAACGTAAGGTTGGCTCGACACTAGAATTACGATCCCGTAATATATTGTCCAAACAATCTGTCCAATAAAATGACTCTAATTAAAGCGATATAACGAAAACGAATAGCTGTATAAAGTTACGTATAAAATTACATTTTCATTTCAGAAGCTACATCGATCAAAATGATAAGCTGAAAAGTAGAAGAGAGTTTGTTTTAAAAACATAAAGATCTTTTCTAACGTCATCTTCTGGTCATCATTGAACTTACTTGAAATTGAGAATTTTCTTCGGTACATTTATTTTTATACTTAATTTCGCTATACAAGTACAACACCATTGATATTCTCGAAATAGAAAGTATCGATGAAAAGTATAGTTAATCGATATATGTTCCGAGAAGCTCGATCAATTTTATCGATCAACCGATTTTAACCAGTAGCTGCTTTCACGAGTATACTCGTCATCGTGTAAAGTGCATTTAAGGTGCAGATTTTTCAAAGTTTTCAAAGAGGTCGCAACAGCTAACTGGTTGATAATTTATTTCTAACGCATACTATTAACAATTTCGAAAGCAAAAAGGCATGTAAAATCCATCGTTTTGTCTTCTAACAATTGCAACTCTTCGCGATTACTTTTTAGTCGTTACAGGTGTTTGGCAAACCTGCAAGAATTTTGTTCAGCGACGAGCGATAAGAAAAAGAAAGGAAAGGACAGGAAATAGGAAAAAAACGATCGTAAGTGTAACAAGAGGTGACTGACAACGAAACGTCGAACGTCGGTAAAATTTTCGCGCGATCTGCAGAACGCGTTAACAGATTCTGGTAGAGGCAAGCGACGAGGGTAGGGACGATAAAAATTTTACTCGGAGCGTGTCGCTTCGATTATCGTCGGTCCAAAGAAATTTCCCGATATTGCGATAATAAAGACGATACGCGTGGCCGCGCTGGGGGTAGCGAGATTAAAGAAAATGCTAGAGGAAAATAGAGAAAAGAAGATACACGCTCACGGTGGCGTCAGCAGCCTGTAACGATGATAAAACTATGGAATCACAATAAAACTTCTTCGTATCTGCTCCTTGTAATTTACCAAACTCTGATAAATGCTTCGTCTGTAGTTACATTTTCCTTGATCTACACTTCAAAACACCATCAATTTTGTTTCTCCAGTGAACTGTAATTTCAATCCCATGATAACTACGTTTCTCTCTTTCTAACATTCAAAACATGATTTATCTTGTTTCTATGAGTAGATCGTTTCTTCGACGCTTTAATAATCACAATTTTTCTCCTCGTGAGCTTCAAAGCATCGTCGATTTTGTTTATTTAAACGGATCGTATTTTTCAATCCCTTGGTAATTACATTTTTTTCTCCCAAGAACACTGGAAGCGCAATTTATCTTGTTTCTTTAAGTGGATTGTCTCTTCGATCCCTTAATAATCACATTTTTCTCTATCTACGCCTCGAAACACGATCAATATTGTTTCTTTAAGTGAATTGTTTCTTCGACCCCTGATATCCATATTTTCCCCTTTCTGCGCTTCAAAATAAGATCCATCCTGTTTTATTAAGTGGATTATTCCTTCAACCCATTAAACAGTTAGCCGTTTTTGACGAGTATACTCGTCACGAGGTAATGACAATATTTTGTGTTACAAAAAGCCCTAACAGTAATAGAATACAAAACTAAAACAGTCGTTTTATTACAACTTATTTCTATACTGTAAGAGCCACGTATACTCTCTACTTGACGAGTATACTCGTCATCGCTTACTTTTCGAACACGTCGCAACAGCAGCTGGTTAATAATCGCAATTTTCTTTTTCTAACATGCAAAGCTTCGACTAACAAAATAATTAACCTTGTTTCTGTAAATGGATCATTCCTTCAGCCCTTTAACAATCACATTTTTCTCTCACTAATATTCCAAGCGTAATTAATTTCGTCTTCTTGAGCGAAATTGTTTCTTAAGCTCTTAATAATTACATGTCTCTCCGACGTTCGAAACATAATTAGCTTCGTGTGTTTGAGTAAAACTATTGTACAATCATTAACGTATATAATTTACACAAATATCTGCGAACCTAGAAGAAGCTTCGATGATTTGTGAAGCTTCGTAGCAGGAGGATTAACGAATGACTGTCCTATCCCAAAATACCACGTATGTATCGTTGCTTGCTTCAACCATTAGAACAAACAGATCGCTGATAAAAATACCTTACGATCTTGTACGCGTGTCTACATAGCACATAGAACGTACTCGATGTTCAAATTGATCGTGCAATATACGAAAGCAGCCTCGGATCGTCAAGTGTTTCATCGAATTTTTAAATCGATTAACCAGTCAGCTGTTGCGACCTCTTAAAAAGGTGTGTGTCTGAAACGTGTCGTCAAAAGTAAGCGATGACGAGTATACTCGTCGTAACAGAAAATATTGTTATTTCTTTGTGACGAGTATATTCGTCAAAAACAGCTAACCTGTTAGAAGGAAACAAAGGTAAAGTAAATAAATTTCGAACGGAAAATAGGGTCCACGTGCGACAACATATGAAATACAATCTGCAAAATACATGTTTAAGCTTAATGGAAATACGGATGATCGATAGAATCGTTTCACGAAAAACGAAAAAAAAGCGGAAAAGAAGAAAAAAGATGAAGAGCAACGTCAATTTCGCAAAGTGTGAAACATTCAAGGTGAGAGTTCGACAGGTGGGCTGGATAAGTGGTCGCTGCAAATCCAATTTATCGAACATCGAAGACACGTGTACGAAACGGTACGAAACGTGTGAAAAGAAGAACGTTGGACAAAATAAAGAGAGGAAGGATGATAAAAAGAAAGGTGGGAGGGAAATTGAGCGAAGTAGAACGAAAGACCTTGATTTGCTGGCTGTACTTGAAACTTGTTAATGGCTGGTAATTAACGTGGCGAATAATCGTCGACTGTTCGTGATGCGCCATTCGAACGACAAAGGGGTCTAATGAAACCAAGTTAAACTCTCTCTCGAGCGTCGATTATCTTTGATCGTTCTAACTTGACATCGAGCTTGAAGCAGCCATTAGAAAAATTGCCTCTATCTTCAATACGTTCGTTAAATATCATAAGTAGACTAGGCATTTTTATGTATTTACGCGAAATTTAAATTGATTTAATCTTCTGAAATTGAGATGGTAGACGATGAGATTGTAAGAAAAGGAAGGAAAAAATAAAGAATGAACTGATATTTTTTTACTTTTTTTTTTAGTAAGAGATAATGTAAATTCTATGCGAGACACGATGAAAAAAGTAAAAAAATTCGCGAGTAATTTATTTTAGCTTCTAACATTAGAACGACGAAGTTCAGTTTCTTTCCTCTTTTTTACAATTACTCAAAATTACGTACATATGAGTTTTTAGAAATATTACTGTACTTATTTATACAGTACCTATTTCACGTTATCGTTATACTACTTTAATTATAACCATCTAAGAGTATATTTAAATACACATTAAGGATTGATTATTCTAGTATAATAATACTAAGGTTATATGCGATAGGAAGATGGTAAAAGATTGACTGCAAGAGCGAATTAATGATTTAAAAAGATCAAAACGTAATATACGAACAGACTTAATTAATCCAATAAGTTTTCTATAGTCCATTCTCTGCCCAAATCAAACCTGAAGATACTAAACGTCGAAAATCCATAGAATTCGCGTGATAAAATTAATACAAATACGCTTGTTTCTATCGAACATCTTCGCCTATTGGCACTGGAAATTGTTTGCCACTTTAACTTGTCAATGATGATCGAAATAAACTTGTCAAACAATCAGACAAACGTGTTAAGTTATATTAATCGTGACAAATCCATGGCAATTTGTTACAGAAACAACAAAGCCTCGAATCAAAAAGTTAATCGAACTAGAATCCGATTCGATGCTCCTCGCAGGTATCTCGATCATCGTGAAGCATCGAATCGTGGCAAAAAAGGAGATTCGACGAATTAGAAGCAAAATCACTCGGACAGAAAGAAAAAAAAAGGGGGAAGAATGAAAACCATCGAGCGCGACAAATTGCAAAAACCAATCGATCGGTCAAATTCACGGTTGCCCGCTGCGTTGCTTTCACTTTTATCGCGCGAAATGTCGTTCTTCTCTCTTCGTAAAACTTCGTAAAATACCAACGACGACGACAACAACAACAAGTAAAAAGAAAAACCAGAGAGAATGTTCATTCACGTACCTGTTTGCAGAGCGGCAGTCACGTGGCCAGTCACGTAGATTATTCGATCACGGAAGACGTCGATCGTTCGAAGATCGGGACTTCTACCAGACGAGCTCGTTTTCAGGCGTTTCCTTTTATTCCGATTTTCACGAACGTTCACCGCATTTCCTTCCTGAAAAAGAAGACGAGAATGATCTTGAATATATGGAAAATCATTTTATTTGTGAGAATACTGTTTCTCGCGAAGTTTTTACGATTACTGAAATGTTAGAAAATGTTAGAATGCTTAACCAGTTGGTTGTTGCGACCTTTTTGACGAGTGCGTACCTGAAATGTTTCATAAAAGGTAAGCGACGACGAGTATACTCGTCAAACACAGAGTATTCGTGGCTGTTAAAACATAGAACTAAATTGGAACGAAATGACTATTTTATCTTTTTTCACGCATGACGAGTATACTCGTCGAAAACAGCTAACTGGTTGATATATTGTGTGCCATAGGATAGTAGGGATAATTAAATATATAATGTTAGTTTACATAACATGTGTTGACAACCATTTACACAACATGTCAACACACGTTACGTAAGACATTAATTGCATAGTAACAGTATTAGTATTTTCATTACTATACACGACGTGTATACACGACTATACACGACGTTAATATACGCAACAATTAAACAAACAATACGTACGATATATATGATAATATAACAATAACTATAAATATAATGATATACCAGCTATTCAACGTTATAGAATAATTACTATATCATAGAATAATAGAGCAAAATAAATAAACGGTAGATTTCCTCGGTGGCATTTACATTATTTTATATAACTTCGTTGGCAGAATAGAATTTCCTAAATTAACATCTGCATCATAGCCATTTTATAGAAAGAAGTTTCATAAAATTTTAATTGACCAGCAAATGTTAGCAAGTGGTATTTTCAAACGCAGGTTCTTCCAGTCAGATCGAAAGCTGTTCGAAGGTTCGAAGCATGGCGAGGAAAACGTTTTTCCGATAACTCGTGCAAGATAATGGTTCAATGGCTAGCATTTAAACAACGCTCGACTAAATAACCCGAGCTAATGCGACCTTTAGAACTTTTCACTTTTCCACCAGATAGAATAGTCGCGTGCTAGAGCAGAGATGCGACTTTCACGAACTCTTACAATGGTGCGCGCCACCATCTGACGTTAATCGCGTCATTATGCAACTGACTATACGTGGCTACGAGCGAATGACGAAGCTGTTTCACGTTGCATTTCACTATATGGAAACCGGACACCCATCCAATCGCGCGATCTTTAGAAAAATTGATATTAAGTTTCTATATTAAGCTCTTACACCGGTGGAATGTGGCATTGGATTGCTGGGAATGTAATCAAGATTTTTGAAAGAGATAAATCATCTCAAACTACTCGCGTGATTATTTATGACAAATTCGAATTCCATACATCCTTTTTTAATCTTTAAATCAGATATCAACGCGTACGATCGTTAGATATAAATATGATTGTAGAAATGAACAAAGTATAAGCATATTTAATGAATTTCATGAGAATACAAATATTATCGAATACAAATTATTATTCAATAAACATTGTTATCTCGTTATAAAAATTACGCTCGTCTGTTCCTTGCTAAATGTCTCGATCGGAGATTTACATAAATAATTCAGCAGAATGCCAATGAGAATATTGACTTTTATAGGACTTTGTAATTGAAAAGAATTTATGAATTGTAAATTATTAGATTTCAGGGAAACCACTTTCTCTCTTTTAATAAGTTTCATTTATACCACTAAATAAATCACTTTTGCAATTAAACAACAATTTAGAAATTCAGCCAGCGGTTTCTTATGATCAACAAAATCCACGAAACGATATTACTCTCGTACCAAGCCAATACTTGGATCCAACTACCCCAAACTTCACTCAACCATCGAATTTAAAAAAATACCATTTTTTAAAAAAGTAAAGTTGGAAAATTTTCCAATTCGACTAGCCCCCACAACTTCACGTCCGATATCCCACTTAAAAGAAGTATCATCGTTTCAAGCAAGTGTCTTACGATAAAATTTTCAGATTAGCTGAAACTTTGCATCCAACGTTCCAATTAAAAGAAATACCATCGTCTAAATAAAATATCGTGTAATAAAAAAAAAAAATATCGAGGGACGCAGGGGGTGGGAAGTTGCGAAAGTATAGGGTGTAAAGAAGCATTCGGAGCACGGAGTTAAAAAAGTAGCGTAAATCAGCTCGTTTACAACGCGACCGGTCAAAAAGTTCTCGCCAGAGAGAGATTCGACGATTTACGAGGTTCGATTTACCGACGAGATACTTTTCCGAAACTCGAGACCTGTTCGTCTTGTTCCTCGTGGTCCAGGAGAAGGTTTCGCAGGACCTTCGTTAACGTACGCATCGTAACGCATCGTTTCCGAAGATTCTAGTGGAACGCAAGTACGTTAGTTGTCTGTTGTCTCTATTTCTGAAACGTCCGAGCGCATCTCGGCAACGTCTTGTCTTATCATCACGCAAATGCTGTGAAAATTACCGTCATTACGCAACCAAGCGCTCCGTTACTTTACGACAATGTTAGCACGAGAACTATCGAATCAACGAATAAGACTACTCTATAATTTCTTGCGGGAATTATGCAGCAAGGTATTTTCCTTGCCAAAAGGTTGAATTCGTCAAATACATTCGAATTACATAAGAGCGTGCGACCGCCACGTGAAAATATATTTAAACGTTAGGCTGTAACATATGAAACGTATGAAAGTCTTGAGGATTCATAAATTTGCCGAATCTCGGCTTTAAAATGCTTGTGAAATATATTTCAAACATTGTAAAGTATTGTCTATGATATACGAAGATCAAAGGAGAAATACGTGACGAGTATATTTCTGATTTTAATGGTAACTTATGATTACAGAGGAGAATTTTAATGACATAACCGAGAGCGAAGAGAAACTGTTAGGTTGAAAGGTCGTTAAGACAATATTTATACAATTTCATAGGAATATGGAACAATGCACGTTTAACTGGAACATTAAATTACAAAGATGATATTGGTGCAACGTGACAAATTTTCATGCCGCTTCCCGGTGAAAATGGGAAGTTTCGCTGATCATAGTTTCCATATTTGTCTAAGTGTTACTTTTGCGTTCGTACACATAAAGATATTTATAGAGAAAAAGATTTAGGGATTTGATACGGCAAGAACGTGCAACGTTATTTTACGTATGTTACGCGAAACATTTTGAAATTTCATTAGCATTGTAATGAGACACGGACTATCGTGATTACATCGGTAAAGTTTGGAACAGAACGCACGCAACAATTATTAGCTTGTTTCGAAAGTTCGTAGCATTTTCAGGAACATAATTATTATTATTTTATTACAAACTTCTTCTGAAACAACCAAGTACCTCCGGCTGAATGTTAACGAGGAAAACTCTAAATTAGTTCTAGATTAAACAAGGCGCCGTTAAAAGCCTCGTATATCAACGAAGATCACACAAAAAAAAAAAAAAAAAAATGTTAGAATTCTACCTGTCTCGTTTATCATATACAGCATACGTACATATATCTATCACATCATACGCCAGTCTTCACAAGACCTTTTTAAATGGAAAAAACCAAATTACAACCCTGCAAAATCCACTTGAAATTATTCATCGCTGAGAAAGACAGAAAGCAAAGGAAAAAGAGTAGCAACATCGACTGTTTAATAAAATGGCTATCTATCGTCTGTAAATTTTTCTCACGTTTCACAGCAAACTCTTCGACAAGCTAATATTTTTCCCAATCGTAGTATACAGATACATCTACGTTTTACATAAAGACATTGTACATGACACTTGAGCTTTTCTTTAAATTCCATTACGAATTTTCCACATTAGTATCTAACGAAAATTCACTATACATACAGTCTTTTGCTTGCTGAAACAACTCTATAGCTCCGATTACTTTGTTACAACTACAATGTGCATCTGTTACTCAATAAATCTATATAAAAATACATAATCCTAGGATTATGATTTCTTAAATCTTGCTATAAATTATTCAAATTAGTATCTAACGAACATATAATGTAAGAAGAATATGTAGTATTTTTCTTTCTCAAACCTGCGAGTCCAATTAATGTGTTAGAACTAAATGCACGCTATAATTGCCGGCAGCTCTTGCACCGAGAAACCGCGAGCAACTTCTGGCCGATCTAATGTCCCTTTCATGGAAACACCTGTCTATTGCGCTGTTCCAGACATCCGATTGCAACGAACGGAAATATTCGTAAATGATGTACAAGATAAACGAGATAAAAGGCGCCCGGTATCAAGGTTGTTTCAAATTACGTTTGAAATGTGTTTTCCTTACAAATCGCCGCTTCTTGAACGCTCGTTACGAACATCGTTAGTGGACATTTCGCAGATTTATGTAATCCATCGTGTTATCGGACTAATAAGAGCCCGTGAAACTGTTACGTCACGAATAACTTCCAAAGCTAGCGCGCATAAACCGATCGTGAATTAACACGAAACGATAAACAGGTAGAAGCAAACATCGATCTCGATCGAGACTAGAGGAAAAGTCATGAAACTACTGGCACAAACGGACACGCGACCGCCTATTATTTTCACTCAGATTATCGCTCAGATAAGCGTTATCACGAATATTACTTCTCGAACAATCGTAACAATGAACCAACGCAAAAAATGAAAACACTTCAGGTCGGTATTTATATTGTTCCACTTAACGATCATCGTTCATCGTAACAGAGCGCAATAACGCCAAGTGTTTACTTTTTTTCTTGTTTGTTTTATTTGAACGTTCTGCGTTGACGTAAACTGCATAGACACTGAGAATGTTTACATGTTTGTGGACATTTTAATGCACGAATACGTATAAATTTTCAAAGATATGTAAAATATTCCTGGAGCTATGCATAAGTCGACTGTTATACTTTGAATATTTTATGTATCTTTACAAATTACAGTAGCGACCGAACGTTTCGAATCTTTCAGAGAATAAAATTGTATTTCGCGACAGCAACGAATGCAAATATAATCTACGATATATAACCTGGAGCACATGACATACGTGGTGGTGAAAGACGCGTAATGTATACGGATATCAACTTTGAGCTTTATATTCATTGT